ATTGTAAATACTCAATTTTTCAAGTGGATTTTCGCTGATTTGTTGGATGATAAAAGTGACAAAAGAGAACTAGATTGTGTGTGCTCTTCCAGTTCTTTCAGTATTGTCTTTAAAAGTGGGGCTGACGAGAAAAAAGCAAAAGAGAGGAAAGAGTGTGCATTGTTACAAGTGAGGTGTACTTGTAATTAATGGACCTTACCTAAACTTTTTCGGGAAAGAAAATTAATAATGTCTACTGAAAGAGAATCTGCTTCATGCAATGCAGGAATCGGATAAATTCTAAATAAGATTGGAAACAGTATGGGTTCAAAAGGACACAAAACGCTTTTAGACGAGTGGTTGAAAGTTGAAGACATTTCAAATACCTTTGCAAACAAGGATTTCTTGCATTGATGCTTGATTGCGATTAGTACAGTGCGATCGTTTGAAAAGTTTTTTTTGCCCATGGTATGATTGAGTGTGAATAGTAAAGTGCAGGTTCTTTGAATTGATAACTGCCCTTACGACAACCAATATGGTAAAAAATCGAGTGGGGGGGGGGGGGGGGGGGGGGGGGGTCATTCAGCCTGAAATATGATATTAAAATCGATGGTGCATTGTAGTCCAATGCCTGGACTGTTTCCATGTTGCCTGACCCCAATCTGCCCACATTGCTGTGCAGAGAGGGTCCTTTCATTCATACCAATGGATGTGAATCTTGGGGATCACGCAATCAGTGGAGACATCATACTCTGTGCAGGATGTGTGTGTAGGGAAGGGGATGAAGATGAAGTGAAGAAGAAAACAAATTCTAGAAGTTAATAATAAGGCCTCCTTCAGATATGATGTGGCAAAACCATGGCTTTTCTCATGATGATGTGAAGTATAATTCATATTCATATTCATATTCATATTTATTTCATTTCCAACAGAAAGGTAAACAAAGATATTACATTTGATTTCATACATAATTCATTTTTTCAAGAAACTATACAAATAAACTTTGCACATAATCAAATTATTACAAGAATTTCTTAATTTCTGAGGAAATGAGGGGGATCCACTAAAAAGCAGTGCTTGTAGGTTGTGGATCCCCCAGAAAAAAATAACAATATAAATGTTTCAAATTTTGCCTACGAAGACTTAGAAAACACAAGACAATATTTCAAAACAACATACAATTTACAAACACGAAACGAACAAGGAGAAGTAAAACAGATAAGAAGGAAAGGGGAAAAGGGGGAAGGAAGAAAAAGCAAGACAAATCATGACCGGAAAAAGTAAGTTATAATGTTAATTTTGGGAAGGTAAGATCATGAGACCAAATAAATATTAAATTAATCGAGCAGATGATGATAATGCATTTCACATTTCTGTATCTTGCAACACAGGGCCCCGGCCCCCCCACTCAGTGTTATTTAGGGTACGCATATGCGTGTTCCAACCGACCCCCCCTTTTCAGCAAAAGTCCGGTGTGTAAAGTGAATACGGCTCGACCTTTTTCTTTTGTATACGAGCCTTTTTCCGGACCCCCCCTTTTCAGCAAAAGTCCGGTGTGTAAAGTCAATACGGCTCGACCTTTTTCTTTTGTTACGAAAAGGACATTTTGGCAACACGCATGCGGTCATTTTGAAACCTGAGTGGGGGGGCCGGGCACAGGGCTCTGTGAACTGAATACGTGCAGGACCTTTGTTGCTCGCAGTGGCCATTCATTTACAAGGACAAAAGAGAATGCTGTGTTTCTAGGGGGGGGGGGGGGCACGGGGGGGGGGCACGGTGGGTTACCGCATCGTATCTGAACAAGCCTTAAAGGTAAAGACCAGTATTGGAAACGCCCCAATTTCAAAAAATGAAATGGAAGCTCTCATTACCAATCATGTGAAAGAATATGTTTTGACTAATACATGATGATAACAAATTTGCCGGGAAACCGCCTACTAATTCATATATTTGGTAAATTTGTTTCTCTCATGGTCTGTGAGAGATATAGGGTAGTCCCATATACATCTTTCTGTGTATAGTGCTTGTAACTTTACAAAGAATGGGCCAAATTTCTTATCATTTTGATGATTCCAGAACCTTGCAGATGCTAGATGCTAGATGATCAAGCTTTTCTGATTGATTCCACGTTTCTTTCACAATGCAATCGCATGACCATAACTGGTCTTTACCTTTAAAATGTAGCAACTACCAGTACAAGTACCTTACATGATAGCGACTACCAGTTCCTTACATGAACGCGTAATCTTGAAACAGTATTTGAACTTCATTATAAAAACTAAAATCATGTCCATTCACTCCATCACAACGAGTCGTACAAATCAAAAGACAGTTTCACACCACAAAATTTCATGTCTGAACATTTTTTTTCTCTTTAATTTTCTATAAATATATAATTTGTTGATCAATATACAGAATGAAGTAATAACAATGAATGAATGAAAGCCATACAATATGAAATAAAATGAATGTAAACATGAGAGAATACACATTGGCTAAGAATAGTACAGAATTTAACATTTTTTCTTCCTTTTTTTACAATTGTCATTATACAGTAGTTCAGGGTAAATTCAATAAGGCCTCACAAAGGCATACAATTATGTATATGCAGCAAAACATTCCTATTAACATGTTTATCTGTAATTACAATCTTCAAATCAATTCTTGCTTCATAGGGACAAATCTCAGTGATCAAGCTTTTTTGTATCATAATTTATTATAAAAGACAAGATACCTTTTTGCTTCATCACATCAAATCCCTGTCATAAATGCTCCACGTATAATAGAATCAATGAAAATGATTTCTGCTATTGTGTTTTCAGTTTGAATACAGTGTCGTCTGGCTTTGAAAGGGATAGGTAACTATACTGCTGAAGAATAGTTCATAGCCCGAGTCCACTGCAGGCAATTTGTTCATTTGGTAACTCTGGCATCATAGTAAAATATGCCACTCAATATTATCAATTTTATTTATCAACATTAGCATGTTTATATATCAATTTTATCATTTTTATTTATAAACTTTATACTATCATTAGTATCAATTAAATCAGGTACAAGTTTTCAAACGATAGGAAGCAGGGAATACAGGTTGCTACAACAAGGGGCAATGGAAAGTAATAAGAAATTATAAGCTTGTACAAAGTATGTGATCTTTGTATAAATAGACGACTTATAAAACAAGTTTTGTTTCGAGTTGTAGCACAGTAGAGAAAGATGAAACAACGTTTTTAGATACATAATAAAAAATCACTTTGCATTGCTAAGGTTACAATAGCTGTAGTTAACACAGGATAAACTCTGGTGACGTGATAAGAGAATTCTAGATCCTCTACTACACCAGTTTACTCACCCAAATTTTCAAAATATTTTGAAAGGCTTGCATTTTCTCAAAAGAACATTCTTGATTTGAATAGACACAATGCATATTAAAACATAAAATTGAAACATTATTCTCTAGTTGTTTGCCATCAAGCAAGTTCCATTATTTTGTTTCTTTTGTTATGCAGGCAACCAAAAAAATCATAGTCTCTTTCCCCCTTAAAATATAAAAATCACATTGAACTTTGAAGCGAACATACCGAAAAGAAAAGGAGCATGTAACCTCTAGAGTTCCATTAAAATCATTGCTCTCAAATCAATATGATAGCACCAATAACATTAAAACAATAAACAGAAACTAATTGTAATGCACAAGATGAGAATCTTCTCAGTGTAATTCAAATCAAACATAAATTTGATTACGATGTATGCCTTCATACAATTCACACACAACATGATAGCCCATCAGAAAAGATGTTTGCGATCTGTTCCTGGTTTCAACTTGTTTCCTTAAATTACCATTATTTTCGCAGTCAGGACTCGGGACAATATAAAAATAACTTCTTCTTTTACACTCCTCATTCTTTATACATTTCCATGTTCTTTCATCCACTCATTCTTGCTATTTTGGGGGGTTGCTTCTATTTAAATATCTGAATACAATAATGAATTTCAGTATTCTTAATTTAGTACATCAATCAAGTATGAATGATGTGAATATTCATAGAATATTCATAGAATATGCAGTTTACAGCTTCTGAATGTTAAGTTCTGTTCATAAAATTGTCATTCCTTACTTGAGCGTATACAGTACACGTATTTGAGAATTTTGATCAATTTAGAGCAATAGTCATTCTACATAAGATAGGACCATCAAGTGTTTTGAGTCTAAAATGAAACAATCACAATCATGATGTAAGCTAAAGCATTCCCCCTCAAATTTTGCTCATCACTGACTTTTTGAAGTCGATCAATAATCCATTAAAATAATTAAAAACAAACATTAATAAAGAATATATGATTATATCCATTTAAAAATATTACATCTGATAGTATTGTACATGTACATGAAGATGCCTGGGAACTAGCATCTTCACTCTTTAAAAAAAAAAGAGGATATTGGTATCAATTCATTTGCTTGCCTTCTTAAGAACATAAATTTAGATCTTTCTTTCTCTCGCTTTCTTTCTCTCTCTCTACACATTCTACAATCACATGATTTGCTTTCTCAAATTGATTAAATATTTTCCATCCATTTTACATGTCCTTTCAGATCATAAAAGCCTTTGATTTGAATTCTCCATCAGGGGAGTGTTTCACAAAGACTAAGATCGATTTTAAGTTGGACTTAACTATGGCAGGCCGTTCATGCCACTGTTTTCTCTCATCATTTACTGGCATTGGTTTCTCAAGGGACGTACCAATCGTGGTCACAAATCTACATAATGTACATTTTTTGATAGTTCATTATTGAAGGAAAAAATCATCATGGTGAGAGCAACCAGTGGCATGAACAGTGTTTTGAACGATGTGTAAAAACTTACCTGATAAATCTAATCATGATTTCAGAGCTTAACTGCAAACAGAGATTTTGAAACTATACAAAATTCTTCCAACCCATCCAGTATGGATGGCCTACGAGTGTGTGTCACTGAGTTTTTACTGACTTGTGAAAGGCAGATCCAATAATCCGCATTCGATGCTACCATCTCATCTCAAAGACAAGACTCAGTATAGACCCCTGGATCATTGTATAGGTAGATCGTAGAACCGATCAGTAGACCAACTCACACCTCTCATAATTCCAGGAGAACTACACATGTACACGTCATCATCGCACATGCATAACCAATGTCTCCAGCACCGTATATCTTTCCTGGGAAGCATCGAAGCACACATTTTGGATCTTCCAACCCTCAAGGATGAATGGCCAACGGGTGTGTGTAATGGGTTTCGATAGACTTGAGCGAAGCAGATCTGATCATAATGCACGTCCAACAACCAATCTCCAATGCCAATCTTCAAGCATTGAAGCACACATTTTGGATCTAAAGCTGTCCTCTGACTGTCCATCTCATCACAACTCCTCAAAGAATGCGACCCTTGCCCTAGTGGAACCCTGAGTGATCTTGTTCAGGGTGGTCTTCTTGTTCTCGCCCCTGCTGTTCACCTCATTATAAATCCGATCCAGCTGGGTCTGGTTCTCCTCCACCTTCAGGACTTCAATCTCTGACTTGAGTTCATTGAGCTGCATCTTGAGGTGTTTGGAGCGCTCCAGGTAGTCCACCCGGTTCTCCTCGATGTCCTTGTCGAGCTTCTCCACGTCCACATCCTCCATCATGTCCATTTCCCCGGAGCTGAGCTCGGGATCCATCTGGAGCGCCGCTAGTTCGTTGCTCAGGGAGCTCGGGCTCCGTTCTAAATGCTAGAGTAAACAGAGACACCATAAGTTTGAGTTGATTTTCATTTCAATGGGACATTTATCTTAAATTCTTCCAAGTCTTAATTTGATTTTCATCCTAAATTATCATTTTAATAGGACACTAATCATGAACTCTCCCTGATTATCTTAACTTTCCTGAATTTTTTGTTTCATTGATAGCATCTTACTCTCCTGCTCCCATCCTCTTTTATCTTATCCTCCCCACTATTCCATCATTATTTCTCTTTCTGTGTTATTCTAAATCTTCATTTCCTCCATCCACATAGCACTTTTCCTATCATCTTCTCTTCTCTCTCTCTTCTACCTTCTCTTCTACTCAATAACAAAGAGTGTCAGCCTTCTTCAAATACTTTAGACCCGTGTTATGATAAATACCTTGGTTTGAATGTTTTATAATATTCAAACTTTGTTACACAGGCTTCTATCTCTCTTCCCAATTATTCTCCAGCAACATCAATCATTACCAAATATCTCTCTCCTTCTAACATGTCTCGTTTTTCATTCCTCTCTTTTTCCCTGTTTCTTTCTTTCTCTCTGTCTCTCTCTTTTTCTTTTTCTATCTTTCTCTCTCTCTCTTTTTTTTCTTTCTTTCTATCTTCTCTCCCTCTCTTTCTCTTTTTGTCTTTCTTTCTTTCTTTCTTTTTCTTCTCTCTCTCTCTCTCTCTCTCCCTCTCTTTTTGTCTTTCTTTCTTTCTTTCTTTCTTTCTTTCTTTCTTTCTTTCTTTCTTTCTTTCTTTCTATTCTCTCTCTCTCTCTCTCTCTCTCTTTCTCTTTTTTTACTTTCTACACTTGTACTTACCGGTAAAAGAGATCTTGTGGAGACATGAATGAGCTTCTCCTTAGCCTCCTTCTCAGCCAGCCTTGCATTAAACAGCTGCTGCTTTAGATCTTCTGCTTCCATACTCCTGCAAAGGAAAACATTAAGATACAGTTCTCATTAATGGCGGCAAAAAGTATTACACCCGACTGTCACAATTACACACTCTGATCTCCCAAGTTTAAGGATCAATAACAGAATTCTATTGCTAATCAATTATACCCTAAATAATGCAACTAAGTATCATACACTATTAAAACAGCAAGTACCCTACTCCTCAAAAGGAGTGCATTTCACTAGTACTTTGTGAGCTGTAAATGAGAACTTGCCTTTGTACATCCAAGATCGGGGGGGGGGGGTGTGTTTCACAAAGACTAAGATCAACGTTAAGTTAGACCTAACTATGGCAGTCCATTCATGCCACTGGTTGCTCTCTCAATGACGATCTTTAGATATTTTTTCCTTCAATAATGAACTATCAAAAAATGTAAATTCTGTAGATTTGTGACCACGATTGGTACGTCCCTTGAGAAACCAATGCCAGTAAATGATGAGAGAAAATAGTGGCATAAACGGCCTGCCATATTCAAGTCCAACTTAAAGTCGATCTTAGTCTTCGTGAAACACTCCCCAGGTCAATTAACTCTTGTCACACAAGAATAGATGCACTAACAAGTTTTCTACATACAAAAAGTGATAGATGTCTACAAACAGTTTGCTCCTAACTTCATAATTGGCAAAACAATTACATTTGTTACACAAAATGTTGGAAGTCCAGTGGCTCAAAAGTCATTTAAATGAAAATCCAGAGTTGAATGAAATGATAGTGAAGGATATTGTGTCACCTTTGTTGCGACTCTTCTGCAAGCCGGAAAGCCATGAACTCGGCTTCATGAGCCTTCATCTCCATCAAGCGTTTCTCTTCTGCTGTCTGTAAACAAAACAAATAAACCATTCAACTTATTAGTTGCTAGATGCTGCTTGTAAGTATCGGCTTGCAAAGTGATGTAGATATACAGTAGGCTTGCGGGTGCACCATGTGAGAGAGATGGAGGATTGAGGGGTCCTGAAAAGGACTCTCGGTAATCTTTCACTCCTGACGACGGATAGTCAACCTGTTTGAAACGTCGAGCCACTCCCGCCACCCATCCTCTCCAAGTGCTATAGTTCTCCTTAGAACTATAAGCTAAGAAAGACAACAGTCTTTGTCAAGACTACACCAACAGTCCTTTTCAGGACTACACACTCTCAAGAAAGATTACCGAGAGTCCTTTTCAGGACTCCTCAATCCTCCCTCTCTCTCACATGGTGCACCCGCAAGCCTACTGTATAATTATTAGTTGCTGTTGCCAGAGTTCTTGCCAATAAAAAAAGCATGGGAATTAAAGAGAACAAAAACATAATAAGCACCAGGAATTTAACTCTTTATATGGCACATAAGTAATCTCCCTGTGCTACATTGTATTTATCATGGGATAGATATACCACAGGCTTCAAGATTAGTTAAATATTTCAAATTAGATTAATTAAGTCGTTGTGTTGAACAAAGCAATCCTTCTGTCAATTGGTGCCTATTGTCTTGTGCACACTTGCAAGTATCAGTATGGCAAACGAGGAAGAATGCAAAGAGGGTGAGAAAGTAATCAAAAATTTAAAAGCAAAAGTAAAAGTTACAAAGGATACAAGTTAAGCAAGTTAAATGTTAACAATAAACATTGTTAGAAGTATTGTTAACAATACTAAGATCTCTAGACAGTCATTGTAGTTTACCTTAATGGCTTCAACCCTTATAGCCTGGATCTCTCTCTCAGCCTGGTCAGCTTTCTGTGCTAATAACATGGCTTCTTCTTCTGCTACCTGGGCCTTCTCATTCAGAAGCTCAGCTGTCTCTTCAGACCTCACCTACAGGTAGAAGCAAAGTTTAAAGGAACATTTAAGCAAACACAAGCAATTCTAAAAATTGGAGTTTGATTGTAATCCATTAACAGGTTCTCTAATATTGTGATTACAAGCTATTTTTCATATACATGGCTCTGCAAGATAAATACATGTCCTGAGTTTGATAGTAATCGATCTGTCAGTTCTAATGATAATGTGTTCACAAGCTATTTATAGGCATAAATACTGAGCCCACATGACCTTTGACCTCAAGACCCACAAATCTAATCAGTTCATTGGCTCTGCAAGATACATACATGTCTTGAGTTTGATGGTAATCCCTCCATCGGTTCTTGAGATAACTTGATCGCAAACTGTTTTTGCATACATAATGAGCCCTATGACCTTTGACCTCAAGACCCCAAAATCTAATCAGTTCATTGGCTGAGCAAGATACATAAATTTGTTTGATCACGAGAACGGAACGTACATACGTAGGGATGGACAACCCCAAAATAACAACGCCACAGTCTAATGTGATGCTTAAAGAATGCAAGTAGGCAAGTACAAAACATTTCAAAACGAATAAGCCACCTACCAACGCGTCATGTGCCAGCTGGGACTCATCCTGGAAATGTCGGAGCTGCTTCTCTAATTCTTCCTTCTCCTGCTCAGCCTTCTGTCTAAGAAGTCTCTCTTGCATCAACTTCTCTCTCTCAATCTGATGAGGGGAGGATGAGAAGAGGATGACAAGAAGGAAGGATGAAAAGAAGGAAGGATAAAAGGAAGATGATAATAATAATAATAACAACATTTATAATGCGCACATATCCACCCCAAGAGATGATCAAGGCGCCTAACAAGGTAAGTACATTAAACTTAAGAGAACGAAAATAATTTAACATAATTAAATATAATTCAACAACGTTAATTACATCACATTGTGAAATACACTACGTCTTAACTAAGGAATTCAGACATTAGATAGGTTTTCAATTGATGTGGTGGAAAGTAGGCAGAAGGGACAGAGGAAATGGTGAAAAAGGTAAATAAAAATAATGAAAATGATAATATTTATAACATGCCCATAGCCATCTCCAAAGAGGCTCAAGGCACCTATAAAATAATTTCAATCCTAAAGATCTAAAATAAATCAATTGTAATATATGAAGTCAATGAACTAAAATTTGAACTGTAAGAAGGAAAACTTAATTGTAAGCAGCAAGCATAAGGTGGGTCTTAAGTATGGCTTTGAAAGTTTGAAGGGTTTCGGGAAAGGAAGGAAAAGGGAATTTAATTTGCAGGTAGAATTGGGAAGAGGGAGAATGTAGAAGGTATTGATGTCATAAGGTGAATTCTGGGAATGATTAATTCATACAAGAAATGAAAGGATCACTATTGGCATAAGAGTAGGGAAAAACCCATGTGCAGTGACCCACTTGCACACCAGTAATCGGTTATACCGGTAGGAGAGACCAGAGGGTTACAGTAAGTCAGTTCACTTTTCCACTCCCAAGCACAGGGGCACTCATGAATTCATAAGGTAAAGTGTCAGTTGGTCTGGAGGTAAAGTCTCTAATCTCATTTCAGATGGCATGTTATGTTTGGTCTGAATGACATATCTAGTCCCACTCCCACCCTTTGCAGACACATACACTCTCATAATACTCACATGTCTCTTGGCTTTCTCTTCCCTTGCCTGAGCTTTCATCTGCTGAACCTCCATCGAGTCTGCTCTTCTTCTCTGCATGAATAACTCATGGTTACCCACACACAGGTCAAGGATCTACATGATAAAGAAAAAAAAAGAGACTGTTTTTATTAACTCACAAGTCTAAAGTCTGAAACATTTATAATTGCTCTGTGGTTGATTTTCAACACTATCTGAGCTCTTTACTGCAACCCTGCACTTAAATCTATACTTAGCCCTTACCTGAAATATTTGACAAAGAAAGCCGAAAAACAGATGTGGCAAAAGTGAATGTCTAAACATCCGGGTCTACAAATGAAGGATCTAAAGCATATGCAAGGCAAATTTTGCAATTAATCCCTGAAGAAAATGTTCTGTAAAGGTAAACATTCTGCTATCCTACAATCAAATTATGACAAAGTACAGTAATGTGATTAAATTTTGATGAATACAATAATGCAGTTTAAATGATGTCCAAATGAGGGAGAAGAGAGAAAGAGAGAGAACGATGAGCGTATGAGAGAAAGAGGGAAAGAGAGAGAGAGAGATAAAGGAGAGAGAGAGAGATGGAGGAGTGAGAGAGAGAGGTAGTGCGATGAAAAAACGAGAGAGAGAGAAAGAAATAAAATTTTCAACAAGATCTACATTCAAAAGAAAGACGCTCTTGACAAACTTAATGTCGTCAGGTAAATATTTTATTTCTTTGAGAAAGCCTTACCAGTTTGTTCATTCGTAGCTTTGGTGAGATGAAGCAAAAGTTGGGTGCTTTCTTTGCAGTAGGCTTTATTGTGAACTGCAAGAAAGAAAATCAGGAAAACATATTACTTCACAGGAACAATTCAGCATGCTTCACCTTCATAAAACATAGTATTAGCTATTCATTATCATTACCATCATCATTGTCATCATCATTACTGCAACCCCAAACTACATTCAATAGAATGCCAAAGTGCTAACATCATATTCGTCATTCAGGTTAGTGGTTTTAAACAACAGACCCTGCGCATGAGGTTAATTGCAAATTCATTCAAGCAACGGGCTGGAGCAGGGCAAATTCAGTGTTTGGGGCTGGTGTGATCACTACACGCCACTGTTTAGCACAAAATTGTTGGAACCAGCAACCTTGACAACTGGGGCAGTATGACGACACACTCTCTATTACTCCGTCATATTATCTTGATTTTCATCACAAAGAGGTAAAACTGGCTGTTTATAAATTTTTGAAAGAAAATTTGACTTAGATACAAATATTTCTTAAATAAAACTCATTTTTACAAACATCCTTGTGTATAATTATATTCTAATGAAATTTACAAAACCGAATCATACATTCTCTTCTGCAGGCTCTTGCAGCAGTAATCTATTCAACTTAACATCTGTTTGCTTGATTCATCATTTTTTTTCTACACTTCAGGAAACAAAGAAAGTATATATTTGTTTTTATTTTTTTTATTTATTCATTTATCTATCTATTAAAACATTTATTTATTTTATTTTTTCTTGTGTTGGGTATGTCTGAATGAGAATCCTATCAGACACAACTACTGCACAACAGGCTTACCTTTTTGTCTCTAAATGATATGTCTCTTATTTCACTCCACGGGAAAGATATCTTTGGTACTAGTTTGTTGTCTAACTCGTAGATGTTGAGACCGGTAGCATCCACTCCCAGATTTAAGCTTGTTCCTTTCTCGTTCTGATCAGAAAGATATGATGAATCATACGAAACACATTTATGCTATATCATGTTTTTATCAAGACTTGGAAACCAGTGTAAGCTCTAAATGATACACGAAAATGTTATATTGATATTTTCCAATTTCCAATTTTTTTTTCATTCTTGCAATTCACTCTGATGAGTGAGGGTCAAATACTTTTGCTATTTGCCTCATGTGTCTCATTTTGTAATATTTTTTCGAATAAAAAGCATTTGAAAATGTTATTACATCCCAACTTTGTTCGACACATTAAAAAACAAAAACGTAATTTTGCCAACCATATTCATTCTTTTACATAAATTTTAAGGGTGTTTGAAACAGTCAATAATAATTCATACAATCCTAGGTCTAAATCAAGCCAAATATTTAAACGGGCAGATATTTAGAAAGAATGCCTAAAAGTCGCTAATGGCAGGACAGGTCTTGTCATACCTTCAACTTCACTTGGTAAGAATAAGAAATATTTATTATCTTAAATCCTCTCTGAAAAACTGCCAAGGAAATTAGGAATAATAATTTCTAAAAGTAAGTACACTGTATGTTAAAAAGAAACTATACGTGTCACATTTACAATTAGCTGCAATCACTAATCACATGTCATTATTTCCTTCTACAGATTGTAAATTTGACTTCATATAGCAATAATAACGATACCATACCATACCACACTAAAGTTTTACCTTGATTTCAAAGTAGCTGACACCGTACATTTCAAGATCTTGAGCTATTTTCAGGTATTCCATCTCAGCCTCATCTCTGTGTATAATAATAAATTAAAAAGAAAACATCTTCATTTTAGAGAACATCTTCATTTTACATAACATTCAGAACAAATTCATCTGGAAGAAGCAACAATTACACAAAAAAACTTGACTGGTCTACAATTGTGGGTTGGGGGAGACCTTTCACTCAGTGTTAATTTTTCTTTATCATAATGACATTACTTTGTGTTCATAGAAAGAAATGATCCAACACAGTCAAACCTGCTTTAGCAACCACCTGTACCAGTATTTAAAGATCATATCTTTAATTCACTCGAACAGTAGTTTTGATTAATACATCTCATTGAAACAAGTTTTGAAGGAACTTGCAAATAGAGACCACCAGTATAATAAATTATAAAGACCACCATCCTTATCTCCCTTAAGCAATCTTTACAGTAAAAGTAAATAAATACTGCTCAAGGAAGACAAAAAGGTGGTCTTCATAAATATACAGATGGTTGCTAAAGCAGGTTTGACTGTACATCTGAATAAATTGCAAAATGTAAATTACCATTGTAAACTTGTCTGAAAGTTAAGTAATGATATGTTGATAGGACCAACCCCAAGTAGAATTATATTATTTTCGTTAATTCATTTGGCAGCAATATATCTATTAATTTTAATTTTAATTAATTCTGATCTAGTCATTATTTCGTCTAATGTCATATTCTTCTTTGCCGTTTACTTGTAATTCAATATTTCTAACATGTTTCTTTGGTATCTCTCACTTTTCCTTCCTTTTCCTTTCTTCTTTTTCTTGCACTAAGAAACATTAGTATTAAGTGCTTTATAACTATATTGTGTATATTTAATTGTTATATCTATTTTCTAATCATTTATTACCCAAATCCATGTCACATAGATATCTATGTGACATGGATTTTGGTAATAAATGATTAGAAAATCTTTTTTCTTCTTCTTTCCAACGGGTATACCTGAGAAGTCCTTCATGCTCTGCATACCATGATGTAATTCTCTCCTCCCACTGGCCAGGTGACATGTCAAACTGACTGATAACCCTTCCAGGGAGCAGCTCCTCATTGGCAAGGAAACCATGCTGATGGACACGTGCTTCATAGTCACCATACTGTCAGGTCATAGAGAGAAAGAGAGAAAGGGAGAGGGAGATACGGGGAGAGGGAGATACGGGGAGAGGGGAAAGAGGGGGAGGGGGAGAAAGAAAGGGGAGAAAGAGAGGAGAGAAAGAGAGGAGAGAAAGAGAGGGGGAAAGAAGGAGAGGGCGAGGAGAGAGGATATACAAAGATGGAATAAAGAGAGAGGGGGAAGGGAGTAGGAGGAGATAAAAAGAGGGGGGAGAGAAAAGAGGGGGAGGGGAGAGAAAAGAGGGGGAGGGGAGAGAAAAGAGGGGGAGGGGGAGAGAAAAGAGGGAGAGATGGAAAGAAAGAGAGGGTGAGGAGAGAGAGGATATAAAAGGTGGAATAAAGAGAGGGGAGAAGGGAGAAGGAAGAAAGAGATAGAGAGGTAGGGAGATGGAGAGAGAGAGAGATCAAGAAAAAGTGAGGAAAGCAAAAAGATAGGGGAGGAGAGGGAGGGGAATGGATATAGATAGAGCACGAGAGATAAAGTAAATAGAAAAAAAAATATGTAGGGAGTATTAGAAAATGATGCATGGGATGAAACTTCCAAGAAATTTGTATACAATGAGCATTTTTCAACTTATATAGGAATGACATATATATGGTATTGTGAAATATTTGAAAAGACCACTTCCAAAACTTTTTAAACCATTCTTTCTTGGATGGTTTAGAGCATCAGCAAACCATATTTCACATCTCAAAATTCAGCCTGGATATTAAATATCATCATTCCAAACAAAACACTTTCAAATGAAATGTGTAATTATATATATTTGTAGATTTTGTAATGTCATGTTGCTCAAATTGATGACATCGCCATTGATTTCATACAGAGGAGATCAGGGGGGGGGGGGGGGGGAGTTTCACAAAACTTTTCATCATTTATAAATGACAGTTTTTGTAATAAGCTACTGAAATCCCTGTTTCTGATTGGTTATTAGCAGATTTGTTACTGATATTTGTCATTTGTAATTGAAGAAAGGCTTTAAAAAAATCATCACTCTGATCACATACCTTGGCTTGGACTGCATAGGAGGCTAATAGCACCGAGGCCTCTGGAGGGCAGTATACCTCTTCGTTGAGTATAAGCTGCTTGACTTGTAGGAAGAAGAGATGCTGGGTGATCTCCTGGATCAGCTCCTCAAAGACCTCCTCTGGATAAAACTTAGCCAAGAACAGGAAGGGAACTGGGTCCTCCTTGGGGATACTCTGTTCATGGACCTGAAACATTTAGACCACACAAGATCATTATCAGTATCAGTCTGCCACAAATAAGCACAATCCCAAAATCTTGATCTGGACCTTCATGTAGTTGGTAGATCTTAGCCAAGAACAGGAAGTAAACTGGGTGACTCTGGGTCCTTGTACTTTGTATAGGTATACTTTGTTCATGGACCTGAAACATTCAAACCACACAAGATCACTATCAAGATCCCCAAAAAGGCACTTAGACCAACATCTTGATCTGAACAACTGAACTGAGTTGGTAGAACTTTGCCAAGAACAGGAGGGGAACTGGGTCCTCCTTGGGGATACTCTGTTCATGGACCTGAAACATTTAGATCAAACAAGATCATTATCATGATCACAAAAAGGCACATACATGTACCAGTAGACCAAAACCTTGATCTGGACCTAGTTGGGTCTTTTTTCAATCTCAAGAGGGTTAGGATTAGGGCGAGGCCTGCAACTATTATCTACATGTACCTCATATAATGCCTGCACATCCTCAACTAAAATCCTAGGTACGGGCCAGAGTGATGGAGTATGGGCCGACAGGGTATTCTACAATTACACCATCTTTATGAGAGTCTTGATGAATTAACACCTTAACTTTAAGCCATTTTTTCCTGCTGGTGTGAATGAACTTTTTTCTAGCAAACTTTCTCTTTCCTATAGATGATTCTCACCTTCTTGTCCATCTTAAGCCACGCTACATAGTGTTTAGAATCCTCGTACTGCAGTCCAAAGTACCAGGTCTCTCTCAGTCCTATGGTCCGACAAACAAGGTCAAACAATTGACGTCCAGTAGTTTTAACCTGGAAAAAATTAAAGATAGCATTGCTAAGCATTTTTTGCCACAGGTACTATTTTACATATTTTGAGACTGTGATGAAAAGTTGAAAACATTAATAAAAGTGCTTGAATTGGCATTAACCCCCGGTCTAGTGGTTTTGATAAAACAGACAGAAAATATAGAGCCAGTACAAAAAAAGAGAAATTCAGCAGGGGTAATTTAGTTTCTAACCGATATATAACCTCCAACATGACAATTCAATAAGTTTCATACATATCTTGGATACTTTTGTTTTTTAACCATATCAATTTGTACTTAACATGTTACCTCTAAAACAGAGGGAAGTTAACATTTACATGTATTTCACTTGGTTCTTTCCGGTTAGTGCTGTGTCTAAGTAAAAGGTATCAGTAAATACTTCTTTTGCATTTGAATATTAATTTTGTAAATCCTTCTACAGTGTATATGTATTTACACGTCAGTGTCCATCATCTTAAAACACATCCCCAAAATGGTTTTCTCAATATTTTGCTTCAACAATCAAACAGACATTTATGAAACTTGTTAAATTTGTTCAAGAAAAGAGATGTAGTAAAAGTATTCAACATTACTGGAGCAGCAATAATATAAACCCCAAAGAAAGACCCAAGCAGATATGACGTTTAATGAAAAGAAATCCTTCTAGACATTGTTATGGTCATTTTATTATCAGAAACCTTGGCCTTGCATGTTTTATTTTTTAATTGTTTGATTCTATGCATTTACACATTTTTATGAAAGTGAGAAATAAACTAAATCTCATGTCACTGTCAACTAATAAAATGATCATCTAAAAGTAAAATTAACTCCCAATCCCAACATACTCAATTTCAACAATGTGAAACAAATACAGTACATGTGATGTAGATATCAAATGTAAAACAAAATTCTACACCAAAATTAGTGAGTCTATTTTGATTACAGTAGCTTATGATATTTTCCTTTCTGACTGAACAATTATGTCTACAACAAAGAAGTCCATTATAATATAACTGTAAGTTGTAACAAATAAATTATTGTAAGAATTCCAAGCATCACTGTCACTGTCAGGTTTTAAAACTGTGTCTCTTGAGACTCGAGTCTTGCTGTCAAGTGTCATCACAAACAAGGAAAATGGCTGATTGGGGAAAACACTCACATCAATACTGAATTCTAATTCTGCATCCATAGTCTGGACTCGAACTGTAAAAGTTTTTTGAGATCGCCGCATTAGCGACATGTTGAAATCCGGCCGATTGCAACACTCGTTCAAAGAAGCACTGCCGCAACCCTACAGCAGCAGACATGCACGTCTATCTTATCATGAGTCCATAGCATAGCCAGCTCCTTCCCCCGAGCACGCCCATCCAATCATCCGTAACTCCCGTTGTTGATAATAGATATGAATCATGCGACTGGTATTCCACGCACTCCCTCCCCGCTTGTACGGGCGCTCGCGAATGTGAAGCGAGCATCAATCGTGTCGGAGACACAATGAAAACATGATATTGTTCCGTTCACATCACAAGGTATCTCCAGAATATATCTTGAAATTAGTCCCGGTTGTTATATCGACGCGATCACCACGAAATTTGGGTTTAACTTTGTTTTGATTAGATGTAGCCAGCCACTTGCTCCCTCGCATTCTCAAACTTGTGTACACTAAAACTGCATTGCCAGACTGGTGTTAAATCATTGAAGCATAACGACATTCTTGCGGTCTTCTCACCATTTGAAAATCATGTTGAGGCACCAGTCTTTCGCGGTATGCCAGTACACTGGTATAGGGCCATACAGTACAACAGAGACGTAGTTACTTTGTTTTGTTTAGATTCATTTATTATGAGTCTCGAATTATCTCATGAGGGAGATGTGAAATGGTTTCGTGTTATATTTACTTGGTCAGCTCTCTGTCTTCGCCAACAAATTAGCCCTGGCGGACTCCCGTTCGAAACTAACACGTCTTTCGGATGGTGACGTTAAATATCGGTCCCAAGACGAACATAAAAGAGTAACAACTTTTTTTGGAATCATATTGTTACAAATAATTTTATTTCAATAGTCACAACCCCGGTCACAATGCGAATTGCATACATTAATAATTGTTGCTAGGTAGGACAAACATTATGGCTTGAACTACCAAACAACACGTAATGTACCGCAATTCAGTATTGAAATACAATTATTCGTAACAGGTGAATGGAATAAATTTAATTGCATTACGAAAATAGTATATTCAGTGGATTCTATAAGTTTATATGGATAAAAATAAAGCTGCATGTAGACAGAAGTATATTTACAAAAAAAATATGAGCCTAAGGAATCTGACTATTCGGTAAAGACTAACGTACAATTTAAATTTAAATAAATTATTTCATTAGAAAGCACCTGGGAGTATCCAATCATAAAGAAATAATTTCTAACCATTAAGGTTCATGGTCACAAAGTATGTATTTCGATCGGAGAGCGGCTTTTAAAGTGACACATTTTATAGAATTGTTTTCTCAAGGCTTTGTAATTACAGCAACAACATCAATAAAGCATTACTTAAAAAATGAAGGAACCACATAAAAATGTTAGTAGACCAACAAACCGTACTATATTATATTTGTAATTCCATTGACATTTTCTCGTGGCAATTTTTCTGGCATCCTTACGTAAGTTACTCTCTCTCTCTCTCTCTCTCTTCTTCTTCTTCTTCTTCTTCTTCTTCTTCTTCTTTTCTCTATCTTATTGGCTTCCCTTCTCTGTCGAGTCTCTCGCTCTCTCACTCACCGTCTCTCTCTCTCTCTATTCGCTCCTCTTTCTTTCTTTCTTCAATTTCCTTGTCTCTCCCCCCCCCCCCCCGCCCCCTCTCTCTCAAAATCCCCTCATACTCGCCCTAACCAGCAACCCAGTGCTAAATTACAAGAATACATAATATGAAGAAAAATTTACTTTCTTGTTTCATTCATGTTTTATTCATGGATTGTACTTTCGGAAACAACACTTTTTGTTCATTCCTCTTGTTTGCTCTCTGTGCATATCTATAGTTTATTCCAGCATTCCCCCCTTTTTTATTTACTTTTATTATTTTATTTTATTAACAAAACCTATACAATCATGTATTAGGTCCATAATTTTCAGGATGCTTTTCAATTTTAGTACTGGAACGGTTTGTTGGTTGACAATTCCTTTCAGGATGATAATGGTTCTTCGTTTTGGTTATTACTATCCTCATCATCCTTTATGACTTTCTTCTCCCCTCCACTTCCTCATTTTCTTCTTCCTCCTCCTCCTCCGTGTCTTCTTCCTCTTCCTTTTCTTTTTAAAATTTATTTTCCCTCTTCCGTTTTTTTATTCTTGTTTCTCTTCATTCCCTCCTTCTCGTCGTTCTCCTCGACCAATTCCTCCTCCAGTCTGCATGTCTTCATCTCCATATGGCTCCGTTTAGTCTCATTTCACAACTCCCCCTATCGTCAGAGCATGGTCAGATTCAGCAGCCTAACATGTTAGCCTATGGACGTTTTTTAAAAAATCGTTAAAAATTCATTTTTTGTTTAAACGAAAAGCACATCCACCCCGACGTACGTTATCACTAGCTCTTTCATTGGAGCCCTCATGTCTCATTGACTTTTGAAAGTTCACCCACCGTAATTTTTCAAAATAGGTTGCAAGCTCGTCATTGCCTATAATATGTGAAACAAGTCTAACTTTGGACTCAGTTTACCAAGCGATTTGAAGATTATAGGTCGAGCACACGAAACATAAAAAGCATGAATTATCATAGATCACTTCTGCCTATTTCGTTTTGTCCATCATTCATCCAACCCCCCCCCCCCCCACCGTAATTTTTCCATTTAGTAAAAGCAAACATTTTGCCGAGTTTAGCAAAAACATGAATATTCATGAACGGTCAGACAATACAGCCTTTTAGTACGTAACGTATAGTGAATGGGAATGTGCGATGATCCGTGTAGGAGGTAGAGGTCAGTGGTTTGTGCTGGCAATGTTCACGCGAGCGAAAATGAGACAATCGGAGCAATATGCTCCTCATCATACTATTCTCTCTCTCCGCCTCTCTCTCCGAGTCCTCTGTACTCTCCTCCTCTGTCTCACTCCCCCAGCGAGAAAGGTAACATTACTAGTAATAAGAAGTTCTAGATTTCAAGTATATTATAAACATACAAATGAGACTACTCTGAAATTATTGTAAGAAAAAAAATTAACAATAAATTTCATCGCATTACGCCTTTCCCTGCATATAAAGCGAAGGTTTAATATTATATGCACTGAAAGCTTACTAAGTGTAAGCAAAATTAAAAGTTTACCATTTACCATAAGAACCTTTTCAGCAACTCTTAAACCGACCAGGCCGTCTTCAATAGAGCATGAATCTGCAAAAGAAGAATTTAAATGAATGAAAATCAGTTTTTGGAATGTCTGGAAATGTCATATGTATTATATTTCATATGTTCTTATTTCTCTTTCCCTTTTTTCCCTCGAGTATCCCCTTCTCTCTCTCTCTCTCTCTCTCCCTCTCTCTCTCTCTCTCTCTCTCCCCTCTCTCTCTCTTTCTCTCTCTCTATCTCTCTCTCCCTCTCTCTCTTTTTCTTCCGTTTTTAATTCCTGTCTCTTTATTCTTTAACCCCTCTCCCGCGCTCTCTCTCTCTTTCTCTCTCTCCCTCTATCTCTCTCTCTATATATATGTCATTGTGTTAATTAAGGCAGAATAATTTACAAGTAAATATAAAAGAAAGATATGCCACTGTGTACTCTATATCACAATGTGATTAGAGTTAGCCTATGCATTAGGCATTATTCTTCCCTACCCTACCTGAACTACTGCAGGTTAATATTTTCGCCTTCTTCGCAGTATTGACTCGTGTCCTGGCGAAAAATGTACGACTGACAGACATTATCCGAGACATGATCGGTAGAAGAGGTAATTATTTTAGCACCCAAATAGGAAAACTTTATACAAACAAATGAGCTGCTTGCAGAGATTTTTGTTTGTTTGTAAACAAACGCCTTCATCCGCAAGTTTCCTATTGTTTTTTTCATCGATATGCTATTTTGCGCCTTGTACTGAAATACTGAGCCATGATTGCCTAAAAGTTGATGTGCACGTGTAAGATTCATATTGTTAGTTGTTACGTCATCAATTTTGCGCTGGTTGCGGACCCTATCTTAGTAAAAGTGGTGATTTATCGAAACCTTCTTGTGCGATTGATATCAATTAAACCTATTTACATAAAAGATAGGGGCTGCAAACTTGGGATTGATTCGGATCAATCGCTACTTTTTATAGGACGGATCAAACCGAAGCGCGTTTGCTATAGAGGCTTTCTGTGAAGATTTATTCAGCATCTCGCTGTTGAAGGTTGATGAAAAAAAATAATGTGTAACTTTTGTATGAAATATTACTGGCTTTTAAAAACCTTTTCAACACTTGAATGTTTGGAATCTGATATGGAGTCAATTCATTGCTAAGAGGACACATTTTTTTTTTTTTTTTTTGGTCTCGAAATTTGAAAATTTGACATTTTGGAGGGGTAAGGTCAGCTTTTTTAGGTCAACCATGGGAATATATATTATTTTTTTAATAAAAGAGAATTTTAGAGGGGGTTTACACACAAAAAAATACCAAAGGGGGGTTTAACCCCCCCCCCCCCCCCCCCCCTGTGTACGCGCCTGATCAACATACTTATACTCTATGTTTGCACATAACCATTTAGAAGGTTTTATAAGTTATAAAATATAATACATTAAAAAAAAACATTTTGACCACCTTGGCCGATCTGATAATTCGAGTACCCCTACACTGGCGGTAGAGGTCAGTGATGGCCACACTCTGTTGTACTGCGTGGCCATATACCAACTGCATTCAACGGGCCTTTCAGCTGTACGTTCGCGCCACTTGGCGGGAGAGATTCGAAGTTGAGGGAAAACACGGCGGCGCCGAAGTACAGTAACGTACACACTGTATACTATTCATGTTGCAACACGCACAATTCAAGTACATGTAGATTTAGACTGCTACAATCGAACTTTTCATTGGACGTACGTGTTGCCCGATTCTGAGCTGAGATTCTGGAAGTTGCTTGTGTCAAATAAAGAGCAATTTGTACTCTAACAATTAGTCAAAATGAATAATTTGCTTTCCAGAGGGGCCATTGCGGTAAGTCAGTCACTGCACTCAGTCAGTGAGAGTAGAATATTTTAACTTTTAATTTTATTACAGACTGATTACAGAAGTGAGTTACAATTTTGTGGAGACTCCAGAAAATGTGTGCGTGTGTGTGTGACTGTGTGTAGACCCTAATTGGGTTTTTACAGACTTGTATCAATCAGATATAAAAATTTACGCCTGGGGACTGACCTTTAATTAAGTAACATCAGTCACCATCCGAAAGACGTGACTCGGTTTCGAACTGCGTCCTCAGCTCAATCAGTTTGTAACTTCCATTTGTTAGTTGGATTACGGGCGCAAGCCATAATTAGATCTAGATCTACCTGCACCCGACTCTACTGCAGCACCGCAGTGTTGTCCCTAGATCTACATCTAGAGCTAGATCTATCTTTAGATATTGGACCAAAAATATTTCAGCTTTTTCCCCCCAAAATTAGGGTAGACTAGATCTAGATCTAGACCCCTACAGAAATTTGTTTGAACAACACACCATGTACCGTGTTTGGTCGGATCACCATGTCTTTTCTTTGTAATCTTGGTAAAAAGTTTAGTCTAGGTCTAGGCTAGGCCTAAATCCAATTTAATGCAGATTAAACATGGCAACTGTTTTGCTTGAACATCAATGGTGCAATTAAGTCTATTATTATAGCGCCTACATGTGGTTCTAGAGTTTTAGTTGATGGTTAAACTGACGACGATAAATCTAGTTGATGCCTCAAAAAAACAAATTAGTTGATGGAAGCTTTTTATTGATAGCTGTTCGTTTCATTCGGAAGTCATCATTGTACATTACAACTCCTCAAGTCATCAATTTCTTTCTTTCCAATGAGCGTTAACAGTATTCTAATCGTAATATGTGTAGATTTTTTCTACTATTTAACGGAATGCATGGAAGTTGCTACAGGATCACCACTTTGTATCTTGATGATATTTTTTCCCCTATTGCCATTTGCCAATGGTACTGTAACGTGCTTATTTAACCGAGGGAAATTACAGTTGGCCAAAATCAATCATCAAACATGCTGCATCAAAAACAATCTAAGCTCTCCAACAAAACTCAAGTAACTCAGGACAGTAGATAAAACAACCTCACACCAAGAAGGACAGAACAGAACTAACTTTAATATACAAAATTATAACATGTCTCTTAGTACAAATCAGGCATCATAACAAAATAAACCCATCAGGGGAAAGTCATGTGATAAGAGAAACCAATGAGGTGAACAGGTTAGATAGATTAAAGGTGAGAGGCAAAGAGGACAAATGAGAGAAGAGAAAGTGCATGTTGCTAGGGCAGGAAAAGGCAACCATGCATAGAGAATGAGAAGACAAAGGGAATGGGTTTGAAGGAGAGAGGAAAATAAGGTGTGGCAGTAGTGCAACTGAAAGATTGTGCTGTAAGAAGGTGAATGAGCTGGGAAAATAAATATGCAAATGAAGAATGCAAATATATAAATGAATATGTAATAATGGATAAGGAAGAGAGAAGAAATTTATTAACTGAAATATAAAGACAAAAATTCAAACTCTTACAGTACAATGCTTGATGCGTGAAACGCAATCAAATTACACGTCCGCCAAACTACGGCTGATAATCTCAAATTATTTGATAGCTATTTTATTTCATGTGATTGCTTTATATACAGTGTATATGATTATATGGTCAATCATTTCTTTCAAATTGATGACCTGTTTTTTTTAACTTTACTTGTGAAAAGTTATCATGAAATAAAGACACTTCATCTATTTAAAAGTATTCATAGACTTATACTGTTAAACCATAAGTGGTGATTAATCTTTCTTTACTTCTTTTATTTACTTCCAGGCCATTTTCCGAGGAGAAAATGTCAGTTGCCCTGTGTTACAGCTTTTGGTAAGTAAAAGTGAATACGTGGCATTGACCTAAGAATAAGATCAAGTTTGTGACATTGGAGATTGAGGAACCTGACTTAAAATGTAAATCGTATGAAAGCAGAACAAATTGGATAAACAGAATCGCAACAACTTTGAAACAAATTGAACCAGTAATAAGAAAGTTAAGAATGTTTGAATTATGATATCACTATAAAGTCTGAGAATCTCAAATTGGCAGTGGATTGTGACATAGTCGCGGATAACTGTCCAGTTTGAATCCTAATCCAAAAACTGAATACGCTTATAAGTTAGGAATAAAAAAGGAATAAGAAATAATATAACACGCCTGGTTGTAGAGTCGCTGCCCGGCAAGCAGTAGATGGCAGGTTCAAATCTTGCAGGTTCCAAGACTTTTTTTATTTACAAGATCGAGCATGTAATCTTTATTTACTGGGAGCAAGCTGAAACTTCTTAACAAATCAAATTACTCCCAAGAAACCTAACATCCATTCAACTTATGGTACAATCACCAAGTACTTTATACTGTAAAACCTGTCCATAGCGACCGCCCAAGGGAAACACAACAAGTTTTCTTTGTAGACAGGTTCCTTTAGTACATGTTTCGATGAGAAACCATTTTCAAAGGAAACAAAAAAATGTGACCTTTGTAGACAGTTGCCCTTATACAATGCTTCCTCTCTAGTGGAAGGGCTATAAATCGGATCAATCTTTTTCACCCCATCGTGCAGGCATGTAAGAAGATGAATGCTGCCGCCAGTGGCAAAGCTGTGGATCGTTACAGGCTTATGCTTTCAGATGGAGAACACACATGCACAGGTAAAGGTTCTTTATTAAAGGAACAGGGTAGCTCCCAGTATAGTCTCAAGTCAAGATGAACAATGGAAAAGGCTAGAGCTGAAACTGAATTTTGATTTCGATCCAAGCTTGTAAACTTGGTCGCATTGCTTCACATGGACGAAGACCAATGATGATTAAAGCATTGATGGGTTTTTATAGTAAAAGGTCACAATTGATGGCACCTTACAAGCCACTTTTTTTTTCTGTGTAAAGGGACACAAACTCGTTAATTATTTAACCGAAAGGATTATGCTAGCAGAATTACAAAAATACATAATATTTTATTGTACTTCATGTCGGGAACAGAAAGATGGGAAACAACTTTTTATATTACTTCTTGTTTTCCATAGCTATGTTGGCTACACAACTCAACGAGATGGTTTCCACCGGAGAGCTAGACGTCAAAGCCGCCATGAAACTCAAGAACTACTCTTGTAATCCCATAGCCAACGACAGGTATGTACAGAGAAGAGAGATGAAGACCCTAACCATAACTATATCTTTAATATAAAAAGAGTGCATATTCAGAAAGAGAGAGAGAGAAAGAGAGAGTTGTTGTTGCACATTAGAATTAAGTAGGGAATATAAAGATGATTTTCCTGTGCCAAATACAGGTAAAACTCCAATTTGGCTAATCTCCATTGCGCATGCTATTTATTTGTACATTCTAATTGCCTAGATTTAATTATGATTACTTATGAAATGCTTCTATTTCTCTTGATTTCAGGCGAGTTATTGTCGTTTTAGACCTGGATATTGTGAAGAAAGGAAGTGAGATTGGTGTGTCTATCGGTGACCCTACACCAATGAGAGCTCCGGGGCAGGGAGGAGCTGCACCAGGTTTGTGACAGATCTTTGCATACTTTATATTTTAAGATCAATGTTCTTACTCCTAATCTATTATTGTCTCATGCACTTGTCCTTTTCTTTTTGTTATTCATTGTTTGTCTATTTCTGACACTTCTGCTTACAGGGTTGTTCTCTCCCCTAATTTTATATATTTCCTCTTCATTGTTCCTCTAGTGATTTTACTTTTACTTTCAAGTCACAAGTACCCCTTAAATGAATATCAATGTTTGCATTTGCAAATTCAATTCTGTTGAAGTTTTATTGTTGAAGTTTGAAAAATATAATATGTTACAACTGTTTGAAAAGTAATATATTTTATATTTTAATTGTTGTTATATGGGCATCATAACTTTACTGGGTAGTGTTTTTATTTATTTGTTGTTTTTAAGATATAAGCTTTACGGTATGTGATTTATTATAAATAAATTCAGTTCCGTACTTCATTCTTTTACCAGTATATCATTTTTTTGTGTACAGAATATTTGTATTAACCTTCGTTATTGATAGCAATATAAGTATTCATTGTAATCTTCCATTTGTTTTTGATTGAGCAGCTCAGCAGCAGTCTAGACCAGATAGCACAGTGAGCCATGATCCACCTCAGACAGCCAGGCCCACCAGCTATGGTACAGGAGGTAGGTAGCCACTGCTATGTTGGGAATACCTTAGACATACAAATACACACTACAGGTCCACTTTGAGGAGAACTGAACATTTAATAGTTGGCGCATTACAAATACTCCATATTATTATTATTATTGTTATCCTTGACCAAATAATGGAAGGCAACAATTAGAGCCCTTTGAAGTGGATTTAAACTTGTGTGATTACCTTCTCAAGTATAACATTTTCTTGATAATCTCTTTTTTCTGTGCTATACTCCACTACGAGGTGGTTGCTAATTTTGAAGCAGTTGACCAATGTGATGTTACATTCATGTGTTAGTAAGGAACAGTGGTCTAGCCAGCTAGTTTGTCATTCACTATCTCTCAAGATCAGGATTTTTATTTCTGTATAGTATATAAGATGTTGCCCAACTTCACACAATTTTGAACATCTTAAGTAGTCAAAATCTCAAGCAGTCGAAGTCTCTTTTTTTAAAATTTAATACACCATAAAATAGATCCAGGCCCTTTTCTTGGTCCTATTTTGCTCCTTGATACCATGAATTGTTAACAAACAATAATATAACATTTTCTATCACTAATTGGAGCCAGGAAAAAGAAAAAAATTGATGCATGGAAAGAAACAAAAAAGATGAAAATATTCTTTTAAATCCTTAAATTGGCAACATGTTGACAGATTCAAAATAATTGTTTTTTTAATCTAAATTTGCCATTTTTTAACTTTTCAACAACATTCTCACCCATGTCTCTAATTTATTTTTTACTTGTTCTACCTTCCCAGCAGCCCCGGCTAGCGCAACGCCCAACAAACAAGGGACATTCTACGGTCAATCAAACTCGGCCATGGGGGGTAGTACCACGTCACCCAAGAAGGTCCAGCCCATCTCCAGTCTAACCCCCTACCAGAACAGGTAAGATCTTATTCAAGACCTGGTTTCACGAAACCATGATAAGTGTAAGTTCGTTGATATCCCATTTAAATGTGTGTTAACTTTTATATAGGTACAGTCAAACCTCCTTTAGCCGTCTGTACAGAAAGACCACCTGTCTACAAAGACCACATTTTTTGTTTCCATTAGAAAATGGTTTCTCGTTGAAACATGTACTAAAGGAACCTGTACATAAAGACCACTTTTTTTTACTCCCTTGGGTGGTCTTTATAGACAGGTTTCACTATATTTTTTAGATGCGATCAAACTTGTACTTGAGATGGTTGTGTGAAACAATGCTCATGCGTCAATCTTGGCCAAATATCTACTTTGGCACATATTGAAAGGAAGTCTGCCCGAGATAATAGTGGGTAAGCTCTTATTAATTTTTGAGATATATTTTCATTGTCCAAACACCATGATCAATGAGAATTGGTATTGACCATTTGATCAAAAATACTGAAGATCTTCTTTCTTCCTGTCTCCTTTTCTCTCTTTCTCTTTGTCTCTCTGTCTGTCTCACTCCCCCCGCCCCCCTCTCTCCCTCTCTTTCTATTTGTCTCTATGTGTGTGTGTCTCTCTCTGTCTGTCTCTCTCGGTCTCTCTCGGTGCCTCTCTCTCCCTCTTTCTCCTCTCTCTCTCTCTCTCTGTCTCTCTTTCTCTTTCTCTCTCTCCTCCACCCTCCCTCCCTTCCTTTCTGTTGCCTTCCAGATGGACCATAAAAGCTCGAGTGACCAACAAGACGGCCATCCGTACCTGGAGCAACGCCCGTGGTGAAGGCAAGCTCTTCTCCATGGATCTCCTAGATCAGTCCGGTGAAATCCGCTGCACGGCCTTCAAGGACATGGTGGATAAATACTATGAGATGATAGAGATTGGAAAGGTAAAGATGATGATGAAGATGATGGTGCTGATGATGATGGTGGTGATAATGACGGTAATGAAGATGATTATAGTGATGATGGTGGTGGTGGTGATGATGATGATAGTGATGATGGGGATTATAGGATGATAGTGATGATGGGGATGATGATGATGGTGGTGATGAAGATGTTGATGGCAATGGTGATGATGGTGGTAATGAAGATGATTATAGTGATGATGATGATGATGATGATGATGGTGGTGATGAAGATGATTATAGTGATGATGGGGATGATGATGATGATGGTGGTGATGAAGATGTTGATGGCAATGGTGATGATGGTGATAATGAAGATGATTATAGTGATGATGGGGATGATGATGATGGTGGTGATGAAGATGTTGATGGCAATGGTGAAGATGGTTGTAATGAAGATGATTATAGTGATGATGATGATGATGATGATGGTGGTGATGAAGATGTTGATGGCAATGGTGATGATGGTGGTAATGAAGATGATTATAGTGATGATGATGATGATGATGATGTGGTGATGAAGATGTTGATGGCAATGGTGAAGATGGTGGTAATGAAGATGATTATAGTGATGATGGTGATGGTGATGATGGTGGTGGTGATAATAGTGAGGATGGTGGTGATGATGATGATGATGATGATGATGATGATGATGATGATGATGATGATGATGATGATGATGATGATGATGATGATGAAGAAGATGTTGATGGTGATGATGATGATGATGATGATGAGGGTAATGGTGATGGTTATGATGTCTAACTGAATTAGAATATGCCTTTTCCAAGATACTGCTGATGATTTAATGCATCTGAAGTTTTTCATGCTCTTGGAGGCAGTCTTCTTGATATTGATTGTTTTTTTTTGTGTGTGTTTTATAATATTGATTGGTTTTCATGTTGTTCCCATATTCTTAAAGTTTGTTTACAACATAACATTCCTGTGATTGCTTCTCTACTTACACACCATTTATCTCGTAAAAAATTACATTTATGGATATCTCTCTAACTCTCTAACTATGTGTAACTTTCCTTACACCCATCCAGGTCTACTTTGTATCTCGAGGCACCCTGAAGCCCGCCAATCGTCAGTACACCTCCATCAACAATGACTATGAGCTCACCTTCAACAACGATACGATGGTAGAGCCCTGTGTGGAGGAAGACGTGTCCATTCCAGCCGTCCAGTTTGACTTCAAGAGCATCTCTCATCTTGAGGATACGCCGGAAGATTCCATGATAGGTAAGCTCATAGCTGGGGTCTTTTTCATAAAACTTGTTATCAATAACAAGTTAGAAGCTGCTGTTATAAGCTACTGAAATCCTTGCTTCTGATTGGCTATCAGCAGATTTGTCACTGATTTTTGTCATTTGTCATTTAAAAAAAGGCTTTGTGAAACGGTTCCCTGTTTCATAATACTTTTTATCAATAACAAGTTCCAAGCTACTGTTATAAGCTACTGAAATCATGGCAACTGATTGGCTGAGAGCAAATTCGTCATAGAAATTTAGCAGTTGTTATAGATAACAAGTTTTATGAAACGGGGGCCCCAGGTTGAGGATATGCCAGAGGATTCCATAGCTGGTTGAGAGTGGAAGTTTTTTCTCTGGTAGTTATTTTCCTGATAGGTCAGTCTGACATCTCATGGAGCTCCGATTAGTTCACTCCTATAGAGATTGTACATAGGAGGGAACTAATCAGGGCTCCTACAACCACACTTGTGTAGGCATGTATGTGCATGTCATAATTGTCTCACTCAACATGCCAAGTGTAGTAGAAAAAAACATCACAAGAAAACTTTTGAAATGTTAGGGAAATTCATGTTTTTTGTGTTGTCGTAGCTCAAGATTGAAAGCCGGATTGGTTGAATAAGGGTTTTTGTTGAATTCTGTTAGATGTAAGCTTCTCAAGAAACATAAAATTGGAACATACTTAAAAATTACAAATATTTGGTAAGGGTATGATTAATTGAGTTCATAACTGTAATTGTGAAACACCCCCCCGATCTCCTCTCTATTTCTGTTCAATGTTTGATGCTCAGATGTGATTGGAGTGTGCAAGAGTACGAGCGACCTGACTGCAGTGACCATCAAGTCGTCTAATCGAGAGGTCAACAAGAGGTCATTACAGCTGGTCGATGATTCTCAGAAGGAAGTTTCTCTGACCCTGTGGGGCAAGGAGGTAGGTCCTATCCCCCACCGGATACCTTACTTCAAAACCCACACGAATAGGAGTTTATGGGGACATGAAAATACCTCACTATTTAAAAAAAAAAAAATCAAATTTTAAGAGATAAAGCAAAGATGACAGTTGCTAGGAAGCGATTTGCAAAATGAACCCCTTGCATAAAATTCTGCCGAAGTCTGCCTATTGTGCACTTTATCTGTAATCATGGATAACAAGATTTTTTTCATTGGATTATTGTAATGGTACACATGAAACTTTGATAAATGTGAACTCTTTTGCAAAGATTTATAACATGAATTTGTGAAACTTGGAAAGTAGGGTGAGACCACTCATAGGCCTGTGTGTAAGACAAGAATTGTACTGCCATAATGCAGTAAAGTTTTTATCCTGACTCCTCCTATTTCAGGCTGAGGACTTTGATGGTTCAGGGAACCCCGTGATCGCTGTGAAGGGAGCTCGCCTGTCTGGTTTCGGAGGAAGATCTCTGTCGGTCCTGCAGAATAGTATTTTCCAGGTCAATCCTGACATCCCCAAAGCACATCATCTCAAAGGATGGTAGGATACCTATTCTGTTCTGTTTATTCTCTCTTTTTCTCTTCCTACCTCTCTCCCTCCCTCTTCCTCCCCCTCCCCCCCCCCCCCTCTCTCTCTCTCTCTCTCTCTCTCTTCCCCCTCGCTCTCTCTCTCCCTCTCTTTCTCTCTCTTTCTCTCTCTCTGTCTGTGTACAATTTGTTGTTGAGTCCTGATCAAGCAAACAAAATGTCTGACTCCCAAACTATATGAGATAATTTTGTCTTAAAATCTAAGCTTATCCTAGCATAAAAAATGCATGAAGATGGACATCTTACAATGAGAGAATTGTGGTTGATTTAGTTGCTTTAAAAGAATTTGACCAATGAAGTAAGGAGTTTTAGTGATGGTCTCTTTGAGACCTAGAACAGTTCTTCATCTGGTCATCACAGTACTCTTTTAACTAAAGGTTTCTAAATGGCCAAGTCCAAGGTATTTGCTTATTCCCAAAAGTAATGGAAAATGTACAAATTTGTACATTGGAATATAACATTTCTATACATTTGGTCTGATCCAAGATTCACATGACCTCAGTTTAACTAGCAGATTTTATGAATTCACTGATGTAGTTTGTAATAAATGGGACTAAATACATGCATGGCTGAAAGTATTTGAAATAGAAATAAATTTTTAGAGAATTTTAAATCTTGATACTGTACTTAATACTCTAATTCTGTTTGACCTCTTGACCCGTATGTAGGTTTGACAGCGAGGGTCACTCCCAGGATTCCCAGTCCATCTCTACTAGACAGGGATCAGGAGGCGGAGGAGGAGCTAACACAAACTGGATGACATTCCACGATGTACATGCACAGAACCTAGGCCAGGGTGAAAAGGTAAGACCAGGACCTAATGACATAGGTGTATGCTCTAGTCCAGTCCAAGAACAGATAAGTGTATAATATTACAATGGCCATGCTTATATCAAGACATGGAGGATCAAACAAAAACTGGATGACATTCCATGATGTACATGCACAGAACCTAGGCCAGGGTGAAAAGGTAAGAACAGGACCGAATGACATAGCAGACCTGCCAACCAGTACGATTTAGTCGTATTTAGTACGATTTTTAGAAGCAAATACGACAGTACGATTTTCCTAAATAAAATACGATTTTCAAAAAAAATGGTGGGTATTTTGTGTGTGTGTGTTAGCCATTTTCAATGGCAAAATGCCCATTCTGTCCTGTAAAGTATCCTACAAGCATCTCAAATTGGCAATTTGGGGATGTTCATCGGTTCATCGAACACAACAGTCATGACGAAATCATGCATATTCAACAAATGATCCATAAAAAAAATTGATCCGCGTAACAGTCCGTGTTTATTTTTAAGAATACAACTTCTGTCAGTAAAATACAACTTTTGGGATTAAAGAATACAGTTTTTGAACTCCAGAGGTTGGCAGGTCTGACATAGGTATACGCTTTAGTCCAGTCCAAGAACAGATAAGTGTACGATGTTACAATGGCCATGCTCCTATCAAGAGATTGAGGAGCTAACACAAACTGGATGACATTCCACGATGTACATGCACAGAACCTAGGCCAGGGTGAAAAGGTAAGAACAGGAACTAATGATAGGACCAGATGGTTTAATTCTTGATTCGGGACCTTAGTTCAGAGTGAGAAGGTAAGTCCTGGTCCTAATAGTATATGATCATGTGTGTACATTCTGATTCAGAACCTAGGCCAGTGTGAAAAGGTTAGACCTGGATCTAATGATATAGGTCCACATGGTAGACACTCTAGTCTAGTCCAAGGACGGATAAGTGTATAATACTACAATAGACCTGTTCATATCGTGAGGTGAAGGATTAAAAAAACAAATCTAGGCCAGGATGAAAAGGTAAGACCAGGACCTGGTGATACAAGACTGAGAGGTTTACATTTTAATCCAGTCCAAGTGCGTATGAAAGCAAAATTACTAATAGAACACACGTATACACACAAAAAAGTTCTAGTTGAGAGACATTTAAATGATGTATTTATTGATAATGGACAGACGTTCCATTTTCAGAAGAATTGTCCTTGTAAACTGATTTGGAAATGATACACACCAAGATTTAAGTAAATGAAATTCATTGTTAATACATAACACACTTGCATGTCATAGTCTCAATTTTCTTTGTCATTTCCATCTATTTCCACAGCCGGATTATTTCACAGTGAAGGGCACCATACTCTTTGTCAGGAAGGAGAACTGCATGTACATGGTAAGTCATATTACAAGTTAGCCTTACGGAATATGTAGACATCACAGATTGTGATAAGTTGTAACATTCAAATGTTTCAGTGGGAAAATAGGTTGTTCTGGAAATTTATCGAGAATTACATACTGTAAGCAGAAAATTGTCAGTTGAGTTAATAACATTCTATGAGTGGTTACCCAATGTGTAGGTGTAATGTGGCTTTTGATTAGGGTATAATACACCTGTGATCTGCGGGTAGTACACACCTTGCATCTTTGATTTGAAAAGATGCAAGGTGTGAATTTCTCTCAATATTTAAGAACTTGTGTTTAAGAACAATTGACATTTGCTTGATTCATTGTTAGTTTGATCAACTTACATAGAATAACATAATATCTGTAACATATTTTCTAAATTTTCAGAATTCCTCCAAACTGATAGGGTATTATGTAAATGAAGACTTACCGAAAAAATTCAGTGTGAGAACTCTCATCAAGAATGCATTAGCAATACTTTCTTTTGCTAATCAAGTCTAGTCGTCGTTGTTTGAGTAATCATTACTGTCTGTTTGTATTAACGTAGGCCTGTCCGTCAGCTGAGTGTAACAAGAAAGTTTCAGAGAATGGAGATGGGTCGTACAGATGTGAGAAGTGTTCCAAAGACTATGAAAACTTCAAGTATAGACTCCTGCTTTCTGTAAGTACATTAGATATCATGTCCTATTATGTCACCCTGATTTCTGAAAATTTAGTATCAATGATTTGCATGTGTAGATGGAAGTCGCTCCTAAAATATGCTGATTCTAAACATGATCCTTGTTTAAATGATGTGAAATAGATTAATTGAATTATATTGTGCCTTTAATGTTTCATTGAACAGGCTGAAGTTCTTCAGTCAAAATTGTATATTACATTTTAATGTTTGGTAAGCCCCCAAAGTATGTTCATCAGCTTTCTTCTGTTCTAGTGAATATTTTACAAGATCTTCAAAATTTAAAAGTGCTATCCTTTCAAATTTAGCTTTTCTTTTCCATTGTTAAGTAGTTTCCTTCATTTCTGTCTAAATACAATTTCTAGTTTCTATATCAGAGATATTAACATTAACATAGCCGCATTTCTATTTGGAAAGTACCTGAATAAGTATTGAAAAGAAATCAAGATGACACATTCAATACAGAAACAATACACAGTGCCCTTTTGATTGATAGTTTCAATTATGTCATATTTACCGCAGGGGTAGCAATGATGGTAACTCACCCTGCATTTAACGGAACTATATTGAAAATATGGGAATTATCTTAATATTTCATTTGATTCATATCATTGATACCACATATGGCCTCGTGGAAGACTGCCACTTACATGTATGGTGAAAATTTGCTAACCTAGATAAATGTCAGAAATGAATAAATAGATAAAATGGAGTACACAATTATTTTCTTTCTTTGCTTTAGTTTATATGTATCATAACTTTTGATTGGTTGATTTCTTGTACAGGCCAATGTTGCTGACTCCACAGACAACCAATGGGCGACCTGCTTTCAGGAGACAGCAGAACAGCTACTTTTAAAATCAGCACAGGAACTGGGTAGTCTCAAAGATCAGGTGAGAAACAAGGGGTTTGTAGGAACTGAGAAATGCAGCTCTAGGATACAGGTGATGTTAAAGTGTACCGATCACCAGGATAGATCGGTTAAAGCCCCACTGCACTACTTATAGCTACTTGCGTCCTCTATATATCAAACAATGCCTAATCGGTGTCTGTTGGTCCCCCGTGATCCCCTTTTACTTATGTTTATTGAGAGCTGATTTGATGAGATAACCACCTGCCAGTGACCTTGCAGGGATGTCTAACCCCCTGGCCTAACTAGTGCAGATGGGCTTTAACAGAAAAGCGACTTGTAGTAGACTACTCGACAGACATATATGCACTTGCATGAGCCCGAACAGAACCAAATATCTGCTTTTGAGATTACAGATTTCCTTTTGAAGGTAATAAAATATCAGAGGTAAATAGCAAAGGCGAGACCTCCAAAAGAAAGAAAAAAAGGAAACATAGGAACAGAAAAAAGAGAAAGCTTCAGATAGTGGGAAGGCGGTAAATATTCTCTGTGGTGGTTATTGCTTCAAAACTGTTGATGTGATGTATCTCAAGAATCGCTGTTCATGATTCACTTAGTGATGATGAACTTATCATTAACTGATCAACAGGAATAAAGCAACTCCACAGTTATTTGAATTATGATACTTGTAATTGTCTCATAATATTACAAATAAAGTACAAAACATATCACCATTGTGTGAAATCAAATTTCTTCAGGTAATCAGAGATATCCCTGAAGAAAATTACAATTTTGTCCAAGTTGTATTGAAAATCATAAAAATTCTGCTTGTAGAAGACCTACCGGTACTTAAAATCGTGAGAAACTGGGTTTAAACAGACACGAGAAGCTTATAATCTTTAAAAAGTTGTACTCTTTATGTTGGAGCAAGGTTATCAAGGTTAATCCGATGGCTTAGAAGGATGTACAATATATCAACAATGTTTTGTTTGTATTAGAATGGTGCAATCATCACACCCATGTCCTTATAATGATTATTGTCAGATCACCATAACTGTGTTTTTACAATGACTATTGTCAGACCTCTATTCATCTTTGCATAGGAGCAATGGATTAGGAACCTGAGTATCAATAATCAGTGGTCTATAGTACATGCTGTAACAAAAGATATCCAATTAATCCCTTCTATCAATCTTGCTTAATAATCCTTAATTGAAAAGAAGTGTTGGACGTGGTAGGATCTAGCACATGCTATTTGATGTTTATGCTACCGAACATTACAGGCTCCTGTGACATCAGCGCTGCATCAATTTCCTATGCTATCCAAAATATCACTGGAGCATTTCCCCAGATAATGATATATTCTTCAGGGAGGCTTGTGTCATTTATTTGTTGTTAGAAATTAGAAAATCATAATTTTTAAGCCTTTTTAGAGGAAACCTAAATATACATTTTTTACATTTAATGCTATGTTATAGTTTTTAAGCACATCAGCTAGGATCCCTTGCAGCATAGTAGAATTAATATACACAGTGTCTGTGCTTTATTAATGTATATATATTATTAGTATCATTATTTTTACATTAATGACATGTCTTTTTATCTCTTGTGATGTTTATTTTGCAGGGTGAGGCGACAGAAAAGGAATTTAATCAGGTCTTCCAAGATGCTTGCTTCATTGATTACATGTTCAGGATGAGGATCAAGATGGAAACTTATAATGTAAGAAAAATAATCTACCGTCATGTCAAATTTTGTTGTTAAAGCCCCTCTAAATTGTTGGGAGCCCCAAAAATTTGATGGCCAAATTTCACTTAACTTGTATCATAATGTGAAAGAGGATGTCATTAAGGACACATTTCTGCAAGGATCTTCAAAACAGGTGTGTTTGAAGTCGAATATTGATGAAAAATACAAAATTTAGGTTTTCTGCATACAACAGAAAACCCAAATTATGTACTGGTATTCTTTTATCACATTTTTGAGGCGTAATCTTTGCAGAAGTGTGTCTTAAATGACATCCTCTTTCACATCTTTATACAATTTTTAGGAAAGTTTGCCATGAAATATTGGAGACTTCTTACAATTTAGAGGGGCTTTAATGTTGTGATTTATTTGGATATTTTAATAATATAGAATATATGCATGTGAAGTAGCTTGTCATATATCCCCACACCCATTTTTTATTACAAGAAAATGTTACCATTGATATTAGGAAAAGAAATGAATCTGCATTTTGTTGCTATGTGGGAAATTTTATTCTTATATCAAACTCAAAGGGATCAGATTGCGTCATATTCAGATTCTTAATTTAGTTGTACTCCTTGGGCATTTTAAGGATGATTAGAAAACAGAAAAACCTACAAATGAGATAGATTACTTCCAAAATGTTTCAGTATGCAGTTGACATGCACATTTATCAGTAAGATGGGGTATCAACATGATGAAAGTCTAGATGTTTGTGGTCAGTCTATTGTGCCATAATTTATGAATTGAACAACTTGAATATGTACACCGTCTCTGGTATTACACTGGAACCTGTGTATAAAGACCACTCCAGGGAGAACTGAACAGAAAAGTTATTGGTATAGACGGGTGGTGTTTATGCACAGGTTCCTGTGATACAAGTTCAAATTCCACAGAAATAATTACAGTGAAACCTGTATATAAAGACCGCTCAGCTCAATGGAGACAAGAAAAGTAGTCTTTTTAGACAGATGGTAACAATTATAATAATAATAATAATAATACTAATAACGTTTTATTTACCCAGGGTAGCCACTTCAGTTATGAAACTGCTCTTCCAGCAGGCCTGCATAACATAATATGTACAGGTTCCTTTGTACAGGTTTTAATGAAAAAACATTTTCTTTGGAAACGAAAAATGTGGTCTTTCTATACAGGTGGTCACACAGCAGGTTTGACTGTATATGGTCTTTATAGACAGGTGGTCTTTCTATACAGTTCTCGTTATTAACACATTTCACTTTATTTCACTGTGTTTATAGGAGGAAGCCCGTCTGAAGTGCACCTGCGTCAGCGCTCAACCCATCAACGTGCGAGACTACACCAACAAACTGATCAAGGATATCAGACTTATGGCCTCTGCTTAGCGGACCAACAGAGGGCGCCCTAGTATTCCACCAACCACTACAGTATAGATATCATGCCGGTGTAGAGATATGTCCATAATATAAATTACTGGAAGAAAACCATCTACATTTTAAAACCCCAAAATCTTCTTGACTTCGTTGAAAACTAACCAATTACCTTGTCAGCATTCTTTTACTTTTTGATGTCCTTGTAATGTTGTGTATCAAATGTTTGTTGCCAGATCTTTCTTATTCGACAGTTTTCTGATTTGAACGTTTTCTGAATTGAAATGATTAGAACAATGATCAAAGCAATAAAAGGTCTAATAAAAGGATGTATTTATTTGGAGCACTACATTTACTGGCGTAACATTCAGAATCTCATTGTAAAAGGAAGAGAATATAATGGGTGTGAGGTCCTCTATGAACTTTTCATTATTAATTTTCCACTTCTCCAGACAAAATCATCAATTTATCTTTACAGATTTACACTAACTAGTCCTACCAGTTTAAGAGAAGCTCAAGTTTAATGAATGCTCTTGCTCCAAATTACTTCAAGAGTTTTTAAACATTAACACCTTACAATATCTAAAAATAATGGCTGTTACTATGTCAAGCATACCTTAAGGCTGGTTCAAAAGGACGCTGTAAACTGGCACAAAAAAGCTTGAATGGCAACTTCGTGCAAAAAAGGTCTTGCGGGCATTCACTGATACAGAAATGTGATGTATATTTAACTTTACAATCATCACAACAAATTGCAGCGTCATATCTGAATATGGCTGAAGTGTTGTCTAGAAGAGAAGGTGCCTTTGTCTGAAAGTTGTTGAGGTTATCAAGAGCCAATGTGCTATTTTACAATGTTCGCAACACATAATGTGCCGCAGATAATAACCACTGTAAATGACTACAAGAATTGGAAGGTCATAAGTGCTCCCCAATATGTTGTATAATCAATAGAATATTCAGACATTGACTCATGGATTTAGCAACTCGTTACCTAAAAATCTCTGTTGTACGTGGTCTTGAACCCCAATGAACGAGTATAATTGTCATCAAAAGATTCCTTCATCTATGTTAACGTTCTGGCATTCATAAAATCATTCCTCAAGGTCACTGGCATGTTGATTGGAGTAATAGCAAATTATAATGGACTGTAAATGTAGTGTACAGTTTATACTAAGTCTTTTTTTTATGTGCTGTCTGAGGAAATATAAATTGGACTGTTTAATTTGATGCTACATGCACATGTATATCTAGAATGTATTAGGAAAGCTTGGTGCCTTTTTGGTCACCTTATTTTGCTGCCATCGAAGAGAGAAAAAAAAATCAGAAAATGCATTTTGTAATTACAATAATTCATGCACACTTGTAAACCACAAATGTCTTCTTTTCTGCTGTATTTAAATAGGGTTGTATTGAGAGAAACAATGAAAGTCAAAGCAACATATATTTTATACAAAGCTTGAAACGATCCGGCAAATGTAATCTGAAGTTTTGGTTGTATCTTTAAGTCTTATCTTTTTATGAGCTAATATTTTGTTTCTCTCTTTTTCTTTAAGATGTAATTAAGATGTAAATCCTGTGTATATATATATCTCCCTTCAAATCAAACTTTTCTATTCTGTTTGTAGAGATGATTAAGTTCTCTACATCTTGTTCCATTTCTTTGGCTAATGTACAGTCACAAATGAGACATTAGAGTCCTAGGATTAATACATGATCCATTTAATCCACATTAACAACTTGATGCATAATAAAACTGGTGACAAAGCATAAATCCCTTGGCCATATGTGAACAGAACTTATCACCAAATTTGAATAATGCTGTTGATCCTGCAGATCCACACAATATGTGCATTGATATCTCTTCTACAACTTAACCAACTAGACTTGCAGCTGATCTCCAATTCTAACGGAGGATAAACAAGAAGAAAGGTTGTAAAATTGCTTGACTTTAGCAATGGTTCACTGTGACGCAACATGTGTTTTCAGCGCCTTCCATCAAAATACGTTTTTATTGACTTATTTGTAAGATAGAATTCAATTAAAACCTTTCTGTTTAATTTTGTTTTGTTACACCCTTCTGTTACACACTTTACATTTAGTATGCTATCCTTCTAAGTTAATAATTATTGCTTACCAAATAAAGCAAACATGTCATCCAGACCATTTATAATATCACATGTGGTGATAAAATATGGCTCAAAATACAGTCTGTTTCTGTATTAATTCTCTATGTTAATAAAATGTTTTTGAAAGAAAAAAAATGGTGACATCTGCAATTCGCATTCATTTGTGTGCATGTGTTGGCGAAGGTTGTGTTTTGTTTAACATTTGTTTACAAATTATTTGAATGACAACTAGAACTCTCTTTTGTATTCAAGTAGTTATTGTTATGTCTTTCCTTCCTCACCAAACTGTTTACTTATTTTTTCTCACATCTACACTTTCTGCTTTCTAATTCCTACACATCCTTTAAACCAGGTGTTAAAATAACTTTCAAAAGATTTGTTAAAGAAAAGAAAGAGCACATTTACTTTCTAAAAATAATTCCTAACTTGAAAAACACATATATGATTTGCTTAAATTATATTCTTGAAATAGTTTTAAAGGGATTGCTCTTTTTTACAAATCAAGTTAATATCAATAAAAAGTTCAGAACACAGCAAAATTAGCAATTACACAAATGATAAAAATTAGTTAAAGAACACCGTTTTGGATTTCAAATTAATTCGGATAGTGCAAAACGCCTCTCCGAAAATATATTTCAGGATCGTTATCTGTAAACTGAGTAGGTAATCAATCAAAGATTTAAATACTGCAAACACGCCCTCTTGTGACAGATTTGTCCTCTTCAGTTTAGAGAAGTTAAAGGTCTTGACCATAAATTTGGTAAGATATAACAAAGAAAAGAGAATTGGAAATAGATAGGGAGCGATACAGGAGATAAGACAGGGAGAAAGGAGAGAGAGAGAGAGACGTAGAAAAGGCTCAGTATATGAAATACATTATAAAGATCATGAGCATTTTGTCTGCTAAAAGTAGACGTAAAAAAACAACATCCCGTACAATTCAGCGGGAGACTAGCATCTTAATTTTAAACACAAGTATACATAAATATGTATTGTGTGTGTGTGTTTGAAATTACACGTAAAATTTACCTATATCACTTAGTTGTGATATATTATAGGCATGATATTTTCCGTTATACATTCAGTCTGTTGCATCGCACTTACAATAATATTGAATGGAGCATGGTTGAAACATGGCGATATAATTCGTTTGCAAAATGTGTGATATTTTGGGACTTGAAATGTAGGCCTAATGGGAAAAAGGGCAGTACATTGACAGCAGTAAAATGACGCCCATGCATAGGCCCTAATATGGAAACTCCTCTTCTTACAAATTATTCCATGGCGATTACTTCGGATACAGATATATTTCGACGATCAAAATATTATCAATACCTGTTGTTGTTGTTGTTGTTGTTTTAGTTTTAAGGGCGTGTGTCATTCAATTGTGAATATTTACGCCGAATTCAAGTTTTTTAATAATTTTAAATGGAAACAACAAAAAAAGGGAGGGAAAAAAAAAATCGACACTGTTCAATTGTTCGCATTTTGCGGAGATTCCAGACAGGCTGTCAACATAAAATCATTTAACCGTTTTGAGCGTATTTTCTGGCCAGCCCGGTTCGGTACGTTGAACAGGCTTCTCGGCTTCATGCGCAGCCTAGGCCCCTCCAATACCGGTCAAAGATCTATTTAGATGTGTCTGAGTCGTTTATGATAAATGCTTCGGAGTAAACGTACCATAATATCTGTCCATTTATTTCTACTGTTAAAAAAAAAGAAATCATGTCCGAATGTCCGGTATGCCTGGTTCACATGGTAATTAAGAATTTGAAGTATCATTTTACTACCCTCCTGGGGAATGATTGTTGAGGTTATTTGCGCACCGGTAGTTTTCCAAAGATGGACGGTGGTAATAAATCAAGAAATTTGAAATAAAAATTTAAATATGAAAAAATGATGGGGGTAGAAGTCGAGAAGGTGGAGGGAACAGATAAGGAGACAGATGAAGTCGAAAAAAATACACAAAAAGACGGAAAAGAGAAATAGAAGATGAAGAAGCAGAAGAAAGAGAAGAAGAAGAGGAGGGTGAGGAGGAAAAAGAAGAGGAGGACATGGAGGAGGAAGAATAGGGGGAGAATGAAGACAAATGAAAGAAGAAGAAGAAGAAGAGAAAGAGAAAGAAGCTAAGAAGAAGACGAATGAGATAGTGATTGAAAAAGTGAAGAAGGAGATCGAGAAAAGAACTATAATAGAAAAACAATAAAAACAACGGAAAGGCGGTAAGAAGGTCAATTCACTGAGTCTTATGATTAATAAAGCAAAATACTACGAACAGAAATTTAATCGCATGTATATGCTTAGAGTTCGCGGAGAAGTAAATGTTAAAATATTTCGCTTCTCCTCTTTCAGGATCTATCTACCAGTCAATCTATCTTTCCATATCTATCTATATATTATCTATTTATGTAATAACATATCTCTCTCTAATATATCTCTATCTAAAAAATATCTATCTATCTATCTGTCTATCTATGTTTGTAATTTTATATCGGTCTCTCTCTATATCTCTATCTATAAAAATATCTACATGTCTCTCTCTTTCTCTCTCTCTCTCTCTCTCTCTCTCTCTCTCTATATATATATATATCTATCTATCTATATATCTGTCTATTTTTATAATTATATATATCGATCTCTCTCTATTATATCTCTACATCTATCTCTAAAATCTATGATCTGTTTATCTATCTATCTGTTTATCCGTATTTCTGTCTATCTATCCACCTATTCATATACTTATCTTTCCCTTCATTCTCACATCCATCTAAAATCCCATCCTGTTTGAAGATATTTTAAGGAAAGATTTAACAAAAAAGTATTTAATCTTCCTCCCATATGTTCCCATCTGTGTGATCTCTCTAAAGTAAGCATCTGAGCAACATACAATCGAG